AATGTTCATCAACCAACAACAGCTGGGGTCTCAGGTCTCTGCTGCTGGTTTTTTGTGGGTCAAAAGCTGAAAAGTTTGGGAACCACTGCTCTAGGTGACCGCCTAGTTCGCCTATGCCAAGAGCCAGCTCTGGGTTAAATGTTAAACTGAAGCAATGTAAACATAGAAATCAGTTTTAAAAAGATACAAAAAAATCTTTTGAGTTGTTATTTGGTCGATGTTGATGGTATTTAGAGATTAAGTGAAACGCTGGGGTGTTAAATAAGCTATTATTGTTAAGTTTCACTGTAAATGAGATAGTGTGTATGTGTATGTAAAATCAGAAGGTTCACAATAAAAATCAAGACTATATAACTTTTTCTGAAGAGTATGAAAGGGGTAGGAAAATATGTCTTTACTTCAACCTACTCCTTTTCAATACAGATTGTAAGCTGCCGAATACAATACAAAACATTCATGTATGTGCATATAGACACACTTTTGTTTGTTTTATCTGTTTTTGAAATAAAGATATTTTCATTCATTCATATTAGTGGGAAAAGGCGGTAGGTGGACCGTCCTGTCAGCCTGAGGTCATGTCAGGGCAACACGGAGCCAATCTTCTGACCTGTAATATGAACACGGCCGGCAGGTGGCAGCAGCAGCAGCAAGGCGGGCTGACCGGGAGCACTCTGCACTTCCGGGGAAGAAGAAGATCTGTTGTTTTGGTTCGGTGGTTCTTCATCCTAGACATAGCTGTAATCAAAGCTTAAACACAGTAAGTTAAACCACATTTATCTTCTCCTGACCTTGATGTGCTGCTGAGACCAGCCTGATGCACTGCTTTCTAATCCATAATAATAATCATGTTATTGTGCACGGTTCTGCACGCCATTACCGGTTTATTACCATCAATAATCAGTCCWGATGGGTTTCTGCTGCCGTTTCTTTGTTGAAAATGTTTTAGAAATAATTCAGAGAAAGACTTTTGTTTAATGTGAAGAACTGAACGCAGAGCAGCTCACACAGGACCTGTGAGGAGCTGGTTCTACCACTTGTAACATGAAACCACCTGTCCCAGACAGCCTGACATTAAGATGAATAAAAGCTACATAAAATAACAACTGCACATGTACACAACACGTTGTTATAAGGAGAAACTCTGCTGACGTCAAATTCAACTTGGAGAAATCACTTTTTTTGTCCAGTGACCCTTAAATAGACATTATTTTATCTGCATTTGTTCCAAATTTGATTCTGATGTGAAATGTCAAAGTGCTCCTCTACATCACTTGATTTCACACGCTGTCATTGGAAGAGGAACTTTGTTTACAAAACAAAGGTTTTTTTAAAGGTGTTTTATTTCCAGGCTTTCTGAGACACATCAGGTTGATTTGGTGTTGCAGTTTGGTGACACGAGTGTAGGAGGTGAGCTTCAGGTGGCATTAAGCTTTTCCCACATCTCTCATA